CTCCAATAGAGATTTCTTCCAGCAAACCCAATATGAGAAAAGTGACAGTTCAGTTTTTCAGTTCAGAAAGCGTTTTCAGAAGTAGGTTGATCTTAATTCCTCTACAATTTTTTGTAGATTTCGTTATTTCGTTATTAGTAAATCCCTATCGATTTTGTAAAATATTACAAAATCGATAGGGATTTACTCCCTAGTGGTTTTCATGTTAATTTTATTCCGAATGACATCGCAGTTTTTTTTTTTCGGAAAAAATGTTTACATTATAACCAATTATTTACTGTGGCATGTAAATAAAAATAAGTTTTAAAATATTTAAATGTGTAAATAAATTAATAAGCCTTAAAACTGTAACCTTTTTTTTATTATTTTATATTTCTTCATTTGAGAAATGTGTAGCTAAAACTAGAGAATATATCTTTTGTTTGAAAATCATTACAAAATATTTAAATATCTGGAAATCCTTTAATAGATTGCGAACCTGGGTTGGCCACTGCAAGATATAACACCCAATTTTACTAAGTTATACTTAGTAAAATTGGGTGTTATATTTCGGGAAATTTGCAACTGTGAATCGTAATACTTATGTCTCGCTTACTATCCTGTTCTTTGTATCCTTTATCCTGTATAATAGAGAACCTCAACAGGCGAATAGGCGACCAACTATACTGTGTAAGTTGCTAAATTCTGGTCTAAATATATTTAGGTCGCATATTGACTCGGAAAAAGTAAAATATTACCGTACTGGATATTTTTCCAACAAGTAGAATATGTATCCATTTGCACGACGTGTGTTCAAATTAACACAAAACGAATTATGACTCACAGTAATTAGCACAAATAATATGATTCACATTTTCGTCATGTATCACATGTTTAAATACTTAATTTGTATGTATACTAAGAAAGACCATGTAGTCCTATCGAAAATATAAAATTTAAATTCTGACATCGATTTTCTTCCACTATAAAAAGTTGTCAGATCTCATATAAAACCGTATCAGTTATTTTAGTGAAGCACCTATTCAACAACTTTGTTATAAATTGTTAACTAATTAGTTAATTTGGTAACAATATTAAGTTGCTAGAAGTACCTCAGTGGCAAAATTAACTAACTTTAGTTGACATAAACTATAACTATTTTCTTTTTTAATGGTCTATAATAGAAAGGTAACGATATATGCTAGCGGGGTATCAGTAAGTGATTTTAAGTAAAAATGAAAAGATTTTTTTTTTTTTTTTTACAACACAGGGGGCAAACGAGCATGCGGCTCACCTGATGGTAAGTGACTACCGCCGCCCATGATCACCCACAACACCAGCGGCATTGCAGGTGTGCTGCCGGCCTTTTAAAAAGGAATATACTCTTTTCTTGAAGGTTATGTTGTCGTATCGGTTCGGAAATACTGCTGCTGGAAGTTGATTCCAAAGAATGGTTGTGCGTGGAAGAAAGTGTTGAAAAACGCACGGTGGAAGACCGTCACTCGTCCAGATGATTGGGATGAAACTTTAGTTTGTGGCGGGTTGTACGGTGGTGAAAATCAGCAGCAGGTATCAATCCGAACAATTCCTCAGATCCCCATGATAAATTCGGTAGAAGATGCACAGAGACGCAACATCTCTGCGCAGTTTCAATGGATCAAGTCGGACAGTAAGGCGTTGACTTTCGATAATTCGAGTTTGAATGCGGTCTAACGGAAGGAGTTGGTACTGTGGCGCTCCTGCCCACAGGTGAGAACAGTATTCCATATGCGGCCTGACTTGGGCTTTATATAATTTCAGGCGGTGTTCTGGCATGAAATATCGTCTCACCCTATTGAGCACTCCTAACTTTTTGGAAGCTATCTTAGCCTTCTCCTCCAGATGACCGCAAAACTGGACGTCGCAAGATATATCAACGCCCAGAATTCCTAGACTTGACTTTTTATCAAGGGAAGTGCCCTGAAAGTGAGGAGATACGACAAACGGCGTCTTTTTTGCGGTAAACGCGCAGACTTGGTTGGGTATATTGTTAGCAATAGGGCCCTTAGTCTCCCTTACTAACAATCGCTTACAGGTATTACTATTAGATATGTTAGGAATATAGGTAGTTGTAGTATGTCCTTTTAATTATTAAATATTCAAACTTCTTGCTTAATAAAGTTACAGGAGTTTAAAAGTGCTTTAAGTCACTTCGAGAAAAGGATGTTACGGCTGTTTTTGAATTGGCGGGGGCGCCACTGTGCCCTTGATCATACAATTCGACGTCGTTTGTATATCTTTTTCTACCGTTCTGCAAAGCAACTTACTTTCATGAAGCGCCGTACGATTTAGTTTAAAGGTGGCACCGAGAGAGACTTTATATAAAAGCCATTTATAAATATTTACTAGTGGGAGGACTTTATGTGATAGTCGTCTATTCGGATACTTCTGTCCCACTCGTATTGTTGCCATGAAGCAGTTGTACTTGCATGGTTATGTTTCAGTGTGCCTATAACGGACTTAGGAATAGCAAGGCATGAGATATACCAAATGCTTCTATAATGTGCAGTATATTCTATAATGTCCATGGTGCTGTTAATATCTATAGGCCTGGAATGGATTGTTAGTAATGGGGTCTAACTGATCCATTGCCAGCAATACACCCTATCAGGTCGACCTCCACGCGGTTCCCCCTGGAAACCATCGTGGTTAATTTTAGTGGAATTCGTCACGATGGACTAACTGACCTGTTTTAATCGTCACCTATCATCCCTCACTGGTGACCCACATTAAAAAACATCTATAGGCGATAGCTATCCCTTTCCATCAGATGTTTATCAGCTCAGATGACATTTTAATGATTTAAAAAAAATATTATACAATTCTAATTGACTCCAAGTATATTTTATTTATTTTATGTAGGCATACTCATTATACTTTTTTTATTCAGAAGTCATATACAAAATATGGTGCAATTAATTACACGATCATACAAAAATACATGTCAGTTTTTAAATAACGTAGATACCTACGTGTGTTGCTTTCACAGAAATAATTTTATTTGATAAGAAGCCCAATCGTTTTTTGATTAGATAAAATTGTCTTTCTGAGAAAAAAAAAGGAAGATTATATATAAATTAGTTCATTAATACTTCTTCAATAGTTATCGAGTACGATAATTATTTTATTGCATTACATAGAAGGACAATTTATAACATGAACATTGTCACTTGTCAGATAATGTAACGTGATCGTAAAATATTGTCATTTAAATTTATCATTTTCAAGACTTGTTATATTGTACTTATATTGTTTTGATAAATACAAAGTAATGTTAGGATCAATCGATAAGTATTTTGTCAGTAGTCTAAAAGAAGTTATACTACTTTTATTGTATCTAGGTTATTGTTAATAGTTCTTATGTAAAATGAGGTAAACAAGAACCAAACTCAGTAGTCAACCAGACATTCACGTCCTAGATACGAAAACATTCCTATAAATTTACTTCCCTGTGTTATAATAATACTGTTTGTTCACCAAACTACAAATACGCTTAAATGGCAAATAAAATCTAGGTTTTATTCTCACTCGATTCTCGTTTTATTATTCTGCACGTGAATTGATGTTACATTGTATTTTGATGCGAATGCGCAAAAAGGAATGTATTTTATTATGTGTTCCCGTGAATTAGAACAGAATTGGCTGTAGTACAAATAGAGTAAGATTATTAGCATTATTTAAGAGAACGTTCTACTAGTTGAAGTTTGTATCTTCACGTACAAAGAAATATTTGTCAAAAAATTATAAAATAAAATTAAGCTTTTTATAATAACCCCATTATTCAAAAAGACCAAAGCCTACTGTAAACCCATTTTAACTATTACAGTGTTTTGTCGCTTTTATTCAAATTGAGAATTTAGCACAAAAGGAAGAGACAAACAAATAGTTCTATAGTTATATGATACAGGTATTTGATACATTTGACGTTTTTATTAATAAGAACGTCTGTTCAAAGCTAGACGTACCGCATTAGTAATTAGTAGGTACTATTACATATAATGTGATGTTAATACAAGAAGATTCAAAACTTTAGTTGTCATTGAATATGATAACGATTTTACCTTTTATCTATCTCAGTCTAAAAAGTTATCTCATTCTTTAAATTATTCTTTAGAACTAATTTAAAGCAAATTTGTACAGCTGCTTAAATAATTAATAACTACGACCAAATTCTTCAGAGCTTAACTATAGTTACTAGATAACTGAGAGATATTCCCACCTATTTTATTATATATGTATATAATATATAATACCCACAAAATATCCAGTGTCATACAAACAAATATACTCAGGAATACATGTTTGATTTATACACAGATCGAACCCCTTTTTTAAATAGTAATCATTAAAACATGATAGTAAAAGATGACTGGTAAACGCATATATACCTTTGATATCATATTTCAGTTTCATTAATAATGTTATTTAAATAAACAATAAATAATTATATTGAAAACTTAGTTTAGAGAGACAATTATATTTTCTTGAATATTTATTATACTATATTGACTTCGTTATGAATACACTTAATTGCTTAATTAATACAAAGACACAAAAATGGATTTAAATAGTTTTTTGTTGAGAAAAATGTACATGTATCAAATTAATCTACCCGAAGATACCTATATCTTCGTTCTTACAGGTTCTAATAAAGTATTTTATAACGTGATTGTCCCAAGTAAACGGCAGACACTTTTATAAATTAATCCTATTAGCTGAGGTACGAAGACCCAGTGAATGACCAGCGACCGTCCAATTACCATTCTGAGGTCACGACCTAGGAGTTATTACTACAACCTGTGATTGATAGAAATAGAACTCTAGAAAAATTAAGTAAATAGAATAGATCTTAATAATAATAATAATAAAGTAAACGTGTTTTGAATTAACAAAATTGAATAATTTTATGCTTTTGCTAATTTATATATAATAATTAAATGTATATGATTTTTTCTAATAAAAATATTTTTTTTTTGTTTCAGGATCATGTATGAAATGTTACCAGTGCAACTCTCAAATGGATCCAAACTGTGCTGATCCATTCAAAAATGCCGCAGTAGTCGTAAGTAAATAGTTATTATAATTTACTATAAGAATATTATTTTTAACAGAAAAAAAATTAAGACTAATTTTATTAACAAATCATGCATTAAGCATAAATAAGAATAAAAAAATAATAAGACCCAATACGACCTTTCTGCTATCAAAGGCAGTTGACAATTTATTACATTAGAAAAACAACAAAATGCACACAATCTTCATATATAAAATAATTTTATGACCTTCATGGCGTAGTAATACACCCATTGTTTTGTATAACGAAGTCCCGAATTCGATTCTCGGTCAATCCAATTTAAAAAATGAACTTTTTTAAATTGGCCACGGTCTGAGCGTAAAAGGTTGTGCCGCCTCCACGCGGTTTCCTCGGGAAACCATGGTTAATCCTCGATGAATTCGTAACGATGGATGAATTTATCTACATTCATCCACACCTATCATTACGTACTGGTACTCCGAAAACTCATAGATAATGATAGCGCAGGCAAAGTTACTATTCCATTGCAATCATTAAATTTTATCACAATTCATCCATTAGTTATTATGTGATCCGTATACAAATATGCAATTAAAAAACATTCACAATTTATTAAAATATGCAGTTTTATTAATAAACTAGCTATATCTAGCGAATTCGCCCGCTTGAATCAATACGTAAAGTATCCTATGTGCTAAGTGGAATAAACCCTACTCGTGTACCATTTTCATTCAATTCTGTTCAATAGATTTTGCGTGAAGGAGTAACAAATATCCATCTATAAAAAAGGATGAATGAATAGATTTAAATTTTCGCATTTATAATATTAATAGGGTTAATATCATAACTTAGATAGATAAATAAATCTCTGTAGTAATAACGAAAGGTTATTGGTGATTATTAATTTCCATTATTTTGATTTGGTTTCCAGGAATGTTCGAGTTCGGACTCCACAAACTACAACAACCAATTCCTGCGTGGACTGCTCCCTGCTGAAATTGGATCAGCGATAGGTGCCCCTAGATATTGCCACAAAATTGTTATGCGTAAGTAAATAGTTCTGTATAAACAGCTGCTTAATTTATAGATGTTAAAGAAAATAAAAGAAGACTGAACAGTCTTCTTTTATTTTAAATCATTTTTAAAAATAATCTTTTATACGCTCTATGATCAGAGATAGCGATGTGGTAAAGAATTATCCACTCTTTTCCTTCTCGTGGGTGTCGTAAAAGGCGATTGAGGGAACTTAATGGTCGACAAATGAGCAGTAGCGTTTCTTTTTAAACATCACCAAAACCTAGCTACGGTTGCCAACCCGCCTGCCAAGCGTGGCAACTACTAGCAAACCCCCCCAAAGGAGAAGCTTACGAGTATGTTCTTTCTTAAACTTCTTAAACTTTAAAAATCTTAAACTTTGTTGACCTTTGTAAATTTTACTTACAGAAACTGGCACTGTCATTCGGGCGTGTTTAGATGTCAATCCCTTGAACATCAACCAAACTTGTCAAATTCTCGATACTCCGAGGATCGTGGATGAGAAATTGAAGCTGAGATACTGTGGCGTATGCGACAAGGACAAATGCAACGGCGCAGGAGCCCTCACAGCGTCACTCCCTCTAGCGGCGTTAACGATCATTACATCGTATCTCTACTACAAACAATAATATAGCAAATGATTAGTAACAACAGATATTAATGGTCCAAGCTTCATAAAAATATTTGTACTGCGCTTACGCTAAGGAATATAAACACGTTTAATTACGTTTATACGTGGCTAATAAATATTGGTTTATACGCCAAATATTTTGTAAACCTACAATACATTAACATGTATCTATTGAACCAATAATTCGATTTAGAACGTCCCCTTCAAAAAATTGGACTGTTATGGATATATGTTTTTATTTCCTATCAATGGTTACTTTTCTAATAAATTACAATAACATATCGGGTATAGTGTTGTGTTACATTAAAATTTTATACACAAGGATACAATGTAAAAGTACCTATTTTTCAAGTGTCATCAATGACCAAGCCAAAATAATTATTTTAATAAACTCTAACTACCGGAACTTAATGTATAAAATACACTTATAGTTCTATAATGTAGATATACTTAATGGGGACATAATAATCATTCACGTAACATAGCTAACCTTCCTCATATAGTGTTAAATAATGGCATTTAATAATAAGACGGGATCAATTCTGAACTTTTATTACATAGCCGTCTTTCTCAATATTGGTCTCTAAGTAGAGATCTAGTTTTAGAATCTCATTTCGTGAATTGACCCAATATGTGCCTAGTCGCCGCTCAAAGGACATTAAATATTATATTAAGATGATAATAAGGCCTTTGAGAAAATTAAAGACCGTCCAATATCATTGTTGTTACATTCGCTGTGTTGGTTAGTTTTATTATATAAGTGTATGTTAATAAGTGTAGCTTTAAGTACTTGTATATTAGATGGATATCACCAGCTAATTATTAGCTACGATTTTAAATTGTATTTTATAATTTCTACTAGTTAGAAATTTTATTTGTAATTTGTGAGAAAATTAACTAAAATTTTGGTTCATCTTTAAGCCAAGATAAAAATAAAAAAATATATATAATTTTTGGGTTTCACTATAAAATACATAACGCTGTAACGATATGTAACTATACAATAATAAAATTATTAAAAATATATTGTGACATATTTATTTGTATTTTAATAAAAAAATAAATAATGTAATAAAAATGGGTATTTATCATCAAATTACTATAACATAATCTTTTTTAAATGAAATCTATCATTTCATAGGATTTTAATACTGCCTTTTGATACTTTGGCGCCCTGCATACGGATGAAATAGTTTCACGTACCAAATTCCAAAAGCATCATGTAATATCACTTTATATAGATATAATTTATCTCAACATTTAAATAAAACAAAATTTAAGAATATAGAAGAAGATTTCTACTAAGCTTCCTCATATCAGCTTGAATTAAAATTGCGCTTTATATTTTTAGTATCTCTAACTATGACAAGTAATTTTAAAATATTATAAACTATATATTATAAAGTTTATAATATTACCTATAGGTATATTCTGTTTTTATTTTATTATTGTTTTTATTTAAAAGGCAGTTAAATACTCGAAAAAAATACAAGTTCCCTTTCAGATAAATCCGATATAAACGGCTTAAAAGTTAATATGATGTGAGATACAAAATGTAGATTCATCTTATGACTTCTCAACATTTTCTCGTATCATCATGCATCTTTCTTTCCAATGACCCTGCAAGTAAGTACATAATTGATTAATCTGGCAGAGGAATTAAAAATGTAGCGATGTAAATGTATTTATCGGAGAGGAGGGGGATAGGATTATTAATAATGTGGATAACCATTGCTAGCAATATACCCTGTTAAGTCCACCGCCACGTGATTCCCTTGGAAACCATCGTACTGAAATCCGAGTGTATTTATCACAACAGGCTAACTGACCTGCCTTTTCATTCTCATGTACCATCCCTCGCTAGTACCCTGCCAGCGTATACCGTTAGCATTACTACAGATAATATAATTTCCATACCAATTTCATTACCATTCATTAAAAAAAATGTATCTGTCGATTAATATTATGCCCTCAGTAAGAGAGGCCTATTAAACTGGGCGGGTTAAGCAAAACAAATCTTGTTACAGTACTTGTAAAATAAGTTTTTCCCCTATCTCAAGTCGCACCATATTGTTATCTATTCAATTCTAACATTCTACATCAAATTGGTATATTCATTGCATTGTTCCTTCTACTTATTTGTTGTGCTCTATCATTAATTTTGGTTATGTGGTCATTTACTTAATTTCGAATTAAAATTCTCAATTATTAATATAATATGTGCGTTTATCTTTTGTACCTAATGAAGTGGCGTTCCATTTTCTCATTTCTGCTTATCCTTATCTTTGAAGAGCTACGCAATCAAGACTACTGCTAAAGTGTTGGATAATATTGACTTTTTTTTTACATACATGGTGTGATCAGCTTAAGAAAGATAAAAAAATATTTAGCTAATCTTATCTGAAAATTTAAATTCTTTTTATATTCGAGACGGAATTGCATTCAAAAATATGGGCGAATGTTGTTATTCCAGCAACGATTTTATTTTTATTCCACTGATGCCAAAGACTCAACTGATTACAAAAAATTCCACTATACTATAGCGCTATATTAATATACTAGCAATCCGACCCGGCTTCGCATGAGTAGAATTTTCGAAAATCAACACATGTAACAAAAAAGTTTCAGTTAATTCAACTGATCGGTTATTTTATAGCATTTTATATGTGATTGATACAACTTTTTTATTTATGAACCGATCGAAATAAAACAAACATTAAATGTTAAGTGGAATGCATTAGTGAAAACTGTATTCAAGCCGTTTCTGAGATTAACGTGCACAAACTTACAGACAAACAGACAAAAATTAGAAAAACCATTGTTTTGGATTCTATTGCGCTCATAAAGCCCACTTATAATAGTTTTTCTTATAGGTATATCTTCCGCGTACAGACAGCGACCTTTTTATTATATATATATATATATATATATATATATATATATATATATATACACACATACACATATATGTGTACATATATATATATATTTATATATATATATATATGTGTGTCTACGTATTGATTATAATCAATACGTACATATAATAAAAACCAAAGAAATTAACTACTTCTAGATGGCGTCTAAAGATAATGCATATATTAGTTATATTAGTTTCTAGGCTAGACGTTTTAGAAATGCAACTGCGAAAACCGCATACAATTTAAAAAAACTTACAAATATGTAAAGGCCCCTTACATAAAATTTACTCAAATATATGTATAAACATAATTCGTCGGTTACAATACTAGAATAGTAGGATAACACGGTCAAACTATCAAGGTTATAAATTCGGCATAAACAAAACAGCTGTTCAGTTTTCTTTGAAGGATACCTTTCTATTTCCAAGATTAAGGGATGAACTCCATATCAATCAGCCAAGTAGAAAGCGTTTGTTACTTCTGTCTGTGAAGCTTACGTTAAAAAGCATATGTTAAAATTTTTTCGCTAACAATCATGATGAGGTTTCTAAAATAAACGGGAATTTTTTTATTAACATTTGATAAGATAGTCTGATTAAAATAATCTTCTAATGAATCATCTACTATAAAGATAATATACCTATATTTAAATATGGAATATAAGTCATTATACTGATATTACAGCTTGCCACTAAACAGTGTAGTAGTGTTAAGAGATTAAAATACGAAGAAAGTAAATAAAAAAAAAAAAAACATAATGGGAAAAATATTTTATATTGTGTTTATCATAACGTTTTGTGCATTTTCTGAAGGTAAGATTAAGATCTTTATATCGTTGTATTTTAATAAATTATATCTTTCCTTCTAATATCCTATTAACCCTTATTCATTGGTTCATTTTAGTACGTTGTTTAAATATAAAATGATGCTTTTGAAAACCAAGCTAATTGTAAAAAACTATTTGTGGTAGTGGTCAAAAACATTTAGGAAACAAACAACCACGTACTTATTACGCTTTTTTAATTTCTTAATTTTTTATTTAATAAGAAATTCTTAATCACTTTGGGCAAATTAGTGATGTTAAAAATAGTTATATTATTATGAGTGTTATTTTTTTAAATTAATAGTTGGAAATCTAATATGAAGACAGTAGGTCTGATTTTGAAGTGCCATTTCTATAAATTTATCTCTTAACCTATTATTTTAATTTGATATTTTCGTGAAATTACTGTTTTATGGACCACCATTAATTAAAATTATAATAATTTAGACTTAAATCCATTGGAAAATCAGTTCATATTGGTCCTTATAATAAAGATTCCGTTGTTATATCAAATTAAAATTTCAATTTTTAAAGTTAAGTTCAAAGAAATGATGTCCCAGAATCGACCCCAATATTAATATCTTACGAATCGTTATTATTTGAGATGGGTTTAAATTTTCTATTTGACATAAATAACAGTATTTGTGCCAATATGAATTGTATAATATACTTATTTTTACTTTTACTTTAAATAAGTTAATATTTGATGAGCTTTAATGTTTTTTCTTATACCACTGAGGTGGCAAATAAGCATACGGCCCAACTGATGTCAAGTGGTTAGCGGAACTTATGAACACCTGAAATACAGGGGCATTACGCGCGCGTTGCTGGCCCTAAAGAAACTTCTTGTATTTGTAACGATTTTACTCGCCGTCCGATTGACTGATGTTCGACTTTCTGCAATACAAAAATTTCTATTCGTCTATTCTTATTAGACTAAACGTTTTATGTGTATTATTCAAAATATTAAAATACGGCTATTAGTTTTTTCCTCGAGTATTTATATGTAGTACAAATTTAGTTTCGTTTAAGTATAGATAGCTCTCTGTGAAATAAGTCTAGAGTAACTTACTATTATATCTTTCCAGTGATGAGCTTACAATGTTACGTGTGCAATAATTGTGCTGAAATTTCAAGTCAACAACTGCAAACTTGCGGAGAGACTGATATAATTACGACCACTGTTCTACCAGAAAGTACTTCAACTACAAGTACTCCTCCTACAGATAATAGTACAACACCCGTAGATAATTCTACTACCATTACAACTCCAGCTACGCCTCCTGTAGATAATAGTACAACACCCGTAGATAATTCTACTACTGTTACAACTCCAGCTACACCCCCTGTGGATAATACTACAACTCCTGTAGATAATTCTACTACCGTTACAACTCCAGCTACACCTCCCGTAGATAATAGTACAACACCCGTAGATAATTCTACTACTGTTACAACTCCAGCTACACCCCCTGTGGATAATACTACAACTCCTGTAGATAATTCTACTACCGTTACAACTCCAGCTACACCTCCTGTAGATAATAGTACAACACCCGTAGATAATTCTACGACTGTTACTACTACAGCTACACCCCCCGTGGACAATAGTACTATTCCTGTAGATAATTCTACTACCGTAACGACTCCAGCTACACCTCCTATAGACAATAGCACTACACCCGTAGATAATTCAACTACAGTTACTACTCCAACTTCACCTCCCGTAGACAATAGTACAACTTCCACAGATGTTAATACTTCTTCAAGAGTAAAACGAGAAGCTCTGAATAATGACCTTTGTGTTTGTAAAGACGTAAGTACTGTGATATTAATATCATCATCATCATCTTAGCTGTTAACTGTCCATTACTGAACATAGACCTCCCCCATAGGCTGCCACAAAAAACGTTCCCTAGCTACCTGCATCCACTAACTCCTTGCAATGCATTTGTGTTCATTGCTCCATCTAGTGAGGGTCGTCTAGTAGGAAACAGTGTACTGCGTTTGCCTGTCACCACTCAAGAACCTTTCTTTCTCAACGGTTGTTGGTTCTTCGAGCTATGTGACCAGCCCATCGCCACTTTAACTTGTTTATCCTTCGTCTATGTCGAGCACTTTAGTTCTTCTGCTAGTTAATTATATATTACAATAAATCACAATAAAAATTTATCCATTTTATTTCAGTTTTGCTTAGTACTTCTTTAAAGAATCAGTAAATTTACTCTTACTTACATTACAGATAATAAACTGCGACTGCAATAGATGGCATTCTCGAAAAAAAAGAGCTGACTCCAATAACATAATCACATATGTCTGCGTTAAGGATGAAGTGACCGGTATGTACTTTCTGTTGCATATTACATTTCTAAATAAAAATAATATGAAAGAGAAACTTTATGAATACCTCTATATCACTAGTATTTCTGTTACCAAACAGCTATAATTATATGATATTGCTTCAGTTTATGGAATATGACAGCGTTTGATAGTAGTAAGTACAGATATGGTAGGCTAAACTGATATGTTCTATAACGTTCACATTTTATATCTATATGTTGATAGGCCAAAAAGATTATGTATCATTCATTCTCACTTTATATCGTCATAATTAATCTATCTTTGTTGAATACCCATCCTTCGACATGTCCAGTTGCCAACACAATATAAGCTCTAAATTTTTAGTCATATTTTTTGTAATATTTAATTTTACTGATAAAGAAAAATTCCGTCTTTCTTAAAAGATTTCACTTTGTATAATATTAAGAAACATTATTTGTTTAGAATTATTACTTGTAACTTAACGTTGAACTAACCAAACAAACATCATCAGCTCGAATTTGGCAGATACAAAAATGATATTCTTTTATACACTAGTAAAATAGGACAGTAATACAGATTAAAATTGTTATATCAATTTATTCGGTTGCAATCATCGGTATAACCGAACCAAATTAACCAGACTAACGGTTAATAGCTGAACTAAAAGTAACTGGGCAACGTACTCACCATGAGGAAGACGTCCGGATGAAGTAAAAACAATTATCGTTAACAACAAAAATGAGTAAAATTATTAAATTCTTGTAGTTCATTTATATATGTATATAATTGAATGAAATTATGATAATACATTTTGAAAATTATGTTGTATTATTAAAATAATTTATTAAAATAATTGCAGTGAATGAGACAACTATTATCAATAGAGGTTGCGCTGTTCTACAAAACACCACGGAGGCGACATGCACAGGAGCAAACTTTTCTTCCAGTTGTAATACTTGCGACACCGATGGATGTAATGCGGCAGTAACATATAAATCCTCTTTAGCTGTTCTAGTTTCCTTATATCTGTTATCGTTTGTTTAATTTAATTAATATAATGTTCATTATTCTCTTGTATTTAAATCACAAGGGTTGCAATGTTTATACACATATTGTGTAATTGTAAATTTAAATTAAGTAGAATTGATCAATGATAATGTAATAAAAAGGAAAATATATATATGTCGCCAATGCACTGAAAGTAAAACTTGAAAATGAAGTTAACTTAATATGTCTACAATATTTTTGTAACTCTCGTGCAATTAAGGATTACCATAGTCATCTTTTTTAAATATTCTTATTGTTATTAGAACAACACACCATGCATTTAACAAACAATTTAAATTGTTCGTTTGTTCCTTAAAAAATTGGCATTGATGGTGTAAATTGATGTTATTTGGTGGAAATTAGAGTTTGTTATCAATCGAATAATCATTTTATTTCACTATTTTAATTTTATGTAGTACATGCCCAAATGCAACTAGGTTCACCAAGGTCCAGAAGATTTCTAACGCTCAATTTAAGGCATTTGTTATAAGGTGTTACAGTATTAAAAATTGTGATAGATATAGTGAGCCTTTTTGAAATTATAAGAGTAAGTTATTTATTTGTTTCATTACACTTTAGCGGGTCAACCAATCATCATAATATTTTGTACACGAGTACAGAAGAAGTCTCTCTCCTTTTGTATTCGTATAAAAAATATTATAACAATTATTATTAATATAATAATTTCCCGCAAACGCGGTGTAATAATTATTAGTGAATTAATTTACTTTTTATTTAAATTACAATTGCAATGCTTGTTTATTTTATTTATTTATTTATATTTAATTTATAAGTATTAAACTAATTTTTTTGTTTGTTATCTCTTGATTACTTAACGAATCGACCGATCGCTATAAAATTTGTCATGCATATAGTATTTGTAAGTTGTCCATAATATGTCCCAGTCATGCGGACTAAGTCACATGAACAACTAGTTGAACAACAATTTCACAAATAAATAAGTACTATACTATCTAACCTGGTCTTTTTTTTGATGGATGATGAAGGAATGGTAACCTCGCTTGCGTTAACGGTATACACTGGCAGGGCACCAGTAAGGTATGATAAGTCAGAATGAAAAGGCAGGTGAGCCCATCGTGATGAACACACCAGGAATTCAGCACGGAGGTTTCCAGGGAGGCTACGTGGAGGACGACCTGCAGAGTATATTGCTAGCAATAGGACTGGTGGGCTAAATTACAAAAGTTCATTTACAAAATTGACTGGTTCGTAAACTTAAATATGTTTGGTTTTGGTGACAATAAGTAGATAAGTAAAGATCAAAACTAAAGCTGATTAAGGACCGAACCCTGACATAGAGGGGGAAAAGGGATTGTTAGTAATGGGTTCTAATGAATCCATTGCTAGCAAAACACCCTATCAGGTCCACCTCCACGCGGATTCCCCTGGAAACCATCGTGATTAATTGTAGTGGAATTCGTCACGATTAACTAACTGACCTGCCTTCACCGTCACCCTCACTGGTACCCCGCCAGCGTATACCGATAACGCGGGCGGTGTATCATTCCATTATCATCCACTAACTAAAAACCCAGGCATAGAATAGACCACCATCCTTTTCCATGGGTGTTGTAAGAGGCGACTAAATCAGGGCGAGGAATGAGCAGCGGTGTCCCTCTTAAAATATCTCAAAAGCCTAACTTCGGTTGCCAAACCGCCTGCCAAGCGTGGCAACTACTGACAATACCCCCAAAGGGGAGGCTTATGTTTAACAATAGACAGATAAGGGTTGATATGATGATGATGATGATGAAGGACCTAACTCTCTAAAAATGTCTGAAAGTTAAAGGTAGGTCTGTACTCTGTTTTATTAACGTGAGCGATTAATATTACAAATAACGTTGAGAATCTGTGAAGGATAAATAATGGAATAATAAAACAAACAATATATATATTTTAAATGTTTTTTGCCTTATTTGAATGAAATAAGAGATAAATAAAAAATTAACTGTGACATTTTCATTTTATACCCCTCTCTCCCACACCTACATGCCTTATTTTTCTCTAAATCAAATTATTATTATTATTATACTGTGCTAAAACTAAGAATCTACCCACTTCTTTGTTTTACGTAAATCTAAAGATTTCACTTTTGTTTAATTGAACTAATTAGTGACATGGACTTTTTTATACTACTATATGACAAACAAGCATACGAGGGGAGGGTGGAAAGGGATTGTTAGCAATGGTGGTTGCATTCCATAGCCTGAGCATTCGCGAGAGAAAACCACTCTAAAACTGTGCGTGATTTTGATTCCAGGGTGTGGGAACGAGGGGTGCTGGGTCGGAAAACCTCCAAGAGTGTCCTGGTTCATTGTACGGTCACTTGTCCTGGTGCGGATACGTCCGGCGGGAACGGTGGCTGACAATGGCTGGGGCCTGGTGCATCCCGGGCAACGGCGGTAAGTGATTTCTCGCTATTTAGAGATCTCACTTACCGACGGCTAATATTCCGACACTGCAGGCAGTATATGCTCCTCGCTTTGTCGATCAAGTCGACAACTCTGGGGATGCATAAATTGCCTGCCCTTCTTCATTTACCCCCTTCTTTTATTTCTTCTTCATTGTTTTGTTTTGGTTCACTCTTGTTTTGTTTTTCTCTCTGTCCTTTCCTATCCTTTTGCCTGTTCTGTTGTTTTGTTTCTTTTCTGTTTCTTTTCTTGTTGCACGGAATGGCAGTTGCGGACCTATATGCCGCCGCTGCGAGGGACGAGGGTGCTCGCTCGGAAGTCTGTTAGGGCTCCAACAAATTGGGGCCACTGGGGGGTCGACGGGTCCGGTGGGTGCTTAACTGCGCAGCCGGACTGGCCTTGTGCTACCGTCGACAAACCCGTAATCTCTCACGGAGGTGTGGTCATGTTTTACGCCCGAGTGGGGGAACGGGGGCCTTGGCTTAACCGCCTGGGCCGCGAGGAGACAACCTCTATAAAAAACCGGTTGTTTAAGCTCTGGTGCCTGGCGAGGGACAGCTTACCCTGCGGAGCACGCCACTGGATACCTATTTCGGCTGACGTGTTCTGCAGGGTGGGCGGGTCGGTGACGTAACATCGGCCGCAAGGGCACCAACCTTTGGGCACCTGCCGCACCCAAAGAATAGTAGGCCGTGCATGGAAGCAGGGGGCTACCCCATGCACGAAACATATCCCCCATGCTCGTGGGAACATATATGGAACCAATTAAAAACCCAAAACAAAATGACGAAGTGTCCGCGAAGGACGGAGAGAAGGTAGTGTCCGCGAAGGACGGTGTTGAGGCGGTATCCGCGAAGGACGGAATGGATGCAATGCCTGCAAAGGGCACCCCTCGTGATAACGCTAGAAGCGCCATGAGACTAAGGAGTGCTGGTTGCAGCGCTGGGAGCAGTCTCTCCCGTTCGAGCTCGCGCTCGACGGTTGTGGACGAGGCTTACACCGGCATGTCTGTCGACCAGTACATAACTGAGCAGTATATGACTGGACGGAAGAGGCGTCGTTCGGGCTCGGAGACATCGGGATCAATGAGTTCAATGACCAAAAACTCTATGAAGCTTGGTGCCCTCAAAAGCAAAAACAACTCCCAGAAGCAGCATTCCGGGCCGAAAGAGGCGAGGGTTGCCGGCAAGGAAAATGACTTCCAGGGAGACACCAGTGAAGGGGCCACCTCCTCGGCAACAGAGAGACCGAGGAAAATTCAGTCAAAGAGCGGCATCAAGCAGCGGTCCATTAGGACCAATAACGCTGAGGACGAAATATCCAGGGTACGCAATACCATCCACCACAGGACCAGTAGGGTGCTAGACGTAATCAGGAAGTCTGGCAACCTGAAGGGAACCTGTGTGAAAGAGATGAACAAACAGATTAAAGGAATTATGGATGAAATGAACAAATTGGAGAGTGACCTAATTCCTCAATCGGTAACTCCACTGCTAACTAGGAACATAAGTCTAGAGCAGGAGGTGATGGACCTTAAGAACCAGTTAGCCGAACTGCGTACAGCACAAACTGCTCCTGTGATGGAGACCGACATCTTTGTGGCCCCCAAAGGTAGGCCTCCACGTGCTGTACCCCGAGTCGTCTCCCAGGCTGCAGCGATCAGTGGGGCTGATCTGGAGCTCTTTCGGGACCAAATAATGGTAGATGTGGATGACATGGTCCAGAGACAGATGCGGGCCATGTTTCAGGAATACATGGGACGACCCGCTGCGGCCGATGCTCCCCATACTCCAGAACGTCAAGAGCCCCACGAGGTCTCACTGCGCCCGAAATGGCGTCCCCCTTTACAGGGTGATGCAAGATATGAAGAGCTCACCAAGCTCCCAGGGGCGGGCAGTCTCGGCTATAGAGGAAAACCACACGTGCTGTCAGTTCCACAGGGCACGCAACCTCCTCCTCCTCCTCCAACAACCTCCTCGGGCCTTAATGCTCAGTCGCGACCAGCGGCCAGTCGGCCACAGCGTGTGGAACCCCTGGCAGTACCGTCCTCCTCAAGGACGCCAGCCGATACGTGGGCCATGGTAGTACGGCGCGGCGGCAAGACACTTGCTGTGCCACAAACCGGCGGATCAAGCAAGAAAACGGCGGTACAAAAAGCGTCCCAGACCAAGAAGGCGGGACCGCCTTCACCGGCCAGACTCCGGGCCCCCCGGTCCTCAGCGGTTGTTATAACCCTACAACCGGAGGCAGAGGAGAGCGGAGTGGGTTATGCAGGAGTCTTACAAGAGGCGAGAGCCAAATTAGACCTTGCCAACTTTGGCATTGAAACAGTTAAATTCAGGACGGCGGCCACAGGGGCTAGGGTTCTGGAAGTTCCAGGAGCCGCCAGCTCCGAGAAGGCTGATGCACTCGCCAGCAGGCTCCGAGAGTTGATTCCGGAGGGTGTAGCAAAGGTCTCCAGGCCCATTAAAACAGCGGAGATGAGAGTCACGGGCCTGGATGACTCCATAACACCCAACGAGGTCGCTGCAGCCGTCACCAGGTATGGGACGTGCACGGCTGACTCGGTGAAGGTGGGGGACATTAAAAGAAACCACTCCGGACTTGACACATGCTGGATTCGTGCCCCGGTGATGTCTGTAAAAAAGATTACGACCGCCGGTCGCATGTTAGTGGGCTGGGTAGCGGCGCGCGCCGAATTACTCCGGCAAAGGCCACTGCGCTGTTATAGGTGCCTCCAAAGCGGGCACGTGAGGTCGCGGTGTTCGTACGAGGAGGACCGCAGCGGCCTCTGCTACAGGTGTGGGTGTTCGGGGCACAAGGCGGCGAATTGCGCTGCCCCTCCCCATTGTGTTGTATGCGCCACTTCAGGGCGTCCGGCGGACCACTGGGTGGGTGCAAAAGAGTGCGCCCCGCCCAAAAGACAAAAAAGAAGTGCGGTCGCCATGGCCTCCCGGGCTTCCAATGACCGGGGTGTGGGGGAGACGATGGACACCGGTAAATAATGGCGGTCCGTCGCCTCCTTCAAACGAATCTAAACCACTGCTCGGGTGCTCAGGATCTTCTGATGCAGAGCGCCGTGGAGTGGCAGATCGACTTGTTGGTAATCGCCGAACCATATAATATTTCCAATAGGAGAGGTTGGTTCGGCGACACGGACGGCCTCGTGGCCGTTGTGAGCCTGCACGGAGGTTCTGCCCCTCCGTTAGCCTCGGTCCTCTTCCGAAATTCGGGCGTCGTTGGTGTGAGTTGGGGGGAAATCGTCATCATCGGGGTGTACTTCTCCCCCAACAGAACCCTCGCCGAGTTCGAACAGTTCTTGGACGGGTTGGAGGCTGCAATTAGTCAATATCCAACCCGCCCGGTAATGGTACTGGGGGACTTCAATGCCAAATCCCCGGCTTGGGGTGCTCCGGTAGCCAACGCTCGCGGCAGGGTTCTCGAAGAATGGGCGATCACGACTGGCCTTGTGATACTCAATCAGGGGTCAGTCGCCACATGTGTGCGATGGCAGGGCGAGTCAATAGTGGATATCACGCTCGCTAG